CCCACCCCTAGAAAAGAGGCTATGGAAACCCATTCCCAAAATCTTCCCAAGAAAACTGCAGGGACTTGCCCAGGCAGTTGCCAGGAGTCAACACTGACTCAAAGGCATACCCACAATTCTAGCTATAGAAAAATGTGGATATATATAATGAAAATAATGTTCTGAAAGGTACTTTCAGAAAACACAAAAACAGCCGGGAATAGATTCCAAATAATCCAGCTGATGTTAAAAAATTTTTGTCCAATTCCTTTAAAATAATTTAGTAACCTCTGGAAATAATGACCTTTCAAGGACTAGCAACAAATAAACAAAAAAATAAATAAAAGACAGCCATAGAACAGTACCACAATAGTGGGGAAATTAACATGTAAAAGGCACTTAAACAATTAACATTATTTTCCAGCATCCTCTTTCTGCTACAAAAACAACAAAAGACTACAATACAATAGTGGATCCTTATTTTAGATTGAGTGATTTAAGAGCTGTCTTCAGATCCAAAAGTCTGTTTTTAAAAAATAAGTGTACATATTTGAAGGAACAGTGGCTATAACTTCAGAATACCACATACAAAGCAACTACAGAATATGGAACAGAAGCTACTCTAATATGTTAAAGGCAAGTCTCCATCAAATGATGCTTAACTGTTGATAACGTTATGGACTTATTCTTGCAATTTTCCTGGCAAACGTTTGCCATTGCTTTCTTCCAGGATGATTTCTGACTTCCCTTCTAGCCTGTAACTAAAACATTTTTAAACTGTTTTGATGCAGGCTTCAGCATGTGATTCCCTCCCTGTAAAGCAGGATTTAAGGGTAGCTGTATAGGACATGCCAGTTTGCACTTTTTATAGCAACAAAAATATCTGGATGACACTATAGACATTGCTCAATTTCAGCATCCCTGGCTACTGGCCATGCTGATAGGAGCTGCTGACAGTTACAGTTAGTAACATCTGGTCAGCCACAGATTCCCTACACCTGTTCTAGTTGGATCACCAGCAACTCACAAAGGTGTATGAAAAACGCAGTAATGCTCAGCCCTTGCCTTCAGAATAGACATTTCAATCTGTTTTGTGACTCAACTCAAAGCACCCCTAGTTTCAGGACTGAGCCAAATAAAAGAATTGATTTAGCAATTCTCTGTTTAAAGAATTAGAGCTGGAATGGCCTATTTAGGCCATCAAGTCCAATCCATACTCAAGTCCAATCCATACTTCATGACAAAAATCCAAATTAAAGCATGAGTATCTAACCTCCAGTTGAACTCATCTGGTGAAAGGGACCCCACCTCCTTCACAGTAATTATTTCTACTAGTAACTGCTCTTAGAGTTATGAAGTTTCTTTGAATGTTAAATCAGAATCCGTCTTCCAATAGCTTAGCTCCATTAATGCAACAAGCGTTTTGGAATTATGGAGAATGTGTATTGACTTTCTGTGTGACATTATTCAGTTATCTGAATATGTTATATTCCTGCTCAGTCTTCTCAAGGTTAAATATTCCCAATTTCTTTGATCTCTTGATAGGATTTAGTTACTAGTCCCCTGATCATCCTCACTGGCCTTCCATGATACCATTCCAATTTGTCCAAATCCTTCCTAAAATGTGCCATCCAGAACTGTACACAATACTCAGCATGAAGTTTGACCAAAGAGGAATAAATTGGAACTATTCCTTTTTGTGATTTGGAAATTATACTTCTGTTGATGGAGCCTAAAATTGACTTTTTTCTAATCACACATTTCTGATTCGTACTGCTTTGCAATCAATTACTATTCCAATACCTTTTTCATAAGCACTGTTATTAAGCCAGACATCTCCATCTCTTATCCTATATCTGTGTCTTTGATTTATTTCCTAAATTAAGAACTTTGCATTTCTCTCTGTTAAAGTTCACTTATTATTTTCAGGACATTTCTCTAGCCTATACAAATTGTTCTGAATTTCATTTCTGTTTTCTAGGGTATCAGATAGCCCATCTAATTTTGCATCATCTGTAAATGTGAGAAACATTCCCTCTATCTCTTCTTCCAACATTAATAAAAGTGTTGAAGAATACAGGCCTAGGACTGAACCTTGAGACACCTACTCGAAACAACACTCCAGTTCAATGAGGAACCATTGAAGGGCATTCTGAATATGATTTTCGAGCTACCTATACCAACTTAATGATCATCCTATTCAGCCCACACTTCCTTTTTACCATCCAACAAGTCTCTTGCGTATTTCCCAGTTGCTGAGTTTATTTTCTTTATTGTATTTTGTTTCTTCATTGTATTGTTTAAACAGATGTTTAAACAGAAGGAAATTGTGCTTTAGAAAGCTTACCTGAATCCAATTTTGTAAGAATTACTTCCTTCTTCATCCATTCATCAAAAGTGACAAATTGTTCAGTTTTCTTGTCTTTAATATACTAAATACCATAATTGTATATGATCACAATATATCCAAGATAGTTTCCAACTAAGATTTTGAACTAAATAGTGCATTATTCAAAATTATTACCTCATTTTCTGTAGATCATCTTGGGCTCTGGCCAATGCAGCTTCTGCCAACTCAGTTCTGTGCTCAGCATTTTTCAAGCATTCAAGGAGAGATGATGTCTCAGATACTCCATCAGGACAAGAGACAGAAGAATTAAGAAGGTCTTCTACATCTGGAAATAAAACACAAACTCTTGTGCAAATATGGAATAAAGCTTAATGGTTTACTCTGAATAAGGATGTTTGACTATGTTTCCTAAATATGTTAACCCTGCGAGGTAGTCCAGACAAGAAGCACAACCAGGAGTACTAACTCTATCTTTATTGTAAAGTTACATTAACAGAATTTTGCTAGACTGAAAGTATTTCTCCCCTTCTTTCCTTTTACTCTCCAGAAAACTAGGGAGGGTCCCTTCTGAAATGTTTTCCATGCCATCCCTCCTGTGGGCTGAGATATCTTTTACCCACTGGTTATCAGTCTGCAGCTTTCCCTCCTGCCTCCCAAGGTCATTCCCACATACCATTACAATATAACACATAAACTCAGGAGTGAGTAATGTGAATTTTCTTTGTAGAAGATTTACTCTTGCCTAGTAGTAGAAGAACCTACCAACAGCTAAAGAAAGGCAGACTAGAATGAGCCATCAAGGGAAGTTTCTCATGTTGCTTCTTCCCAGTTCTAAAGTTCAAAAGAACTGAATCCAAAAGATTAGGTTGTCCTTTTTACTTTTCTTTGTGCAATACTCACCAAGCCAGTATCAATATATGGAGAAAATCCTATCTATGTGGTCACTAGGAGTCAAAAACAACTTGATGGCCAATCAATCAATATCAATATATTTTTGAAATTCTCTTCTGTTCCAAGAGGGATTTGCCAGCTTGCAATTAATAAGCTTTAAAAATAAGTTCCACTGGACTCATAGTGCAACACAGTTATCTACGAGTTCCCAAAACAGAATTATTCATTCAGCATCCATACAGGGGATTCTTATGCAAAGAGAGGTTTTGAACACACAAATAATCATAGGTGCCTCCTTAATTTCAAAGGGTAGAGCATTCCACAGTGCAAATGCTATCACAAAACAAAACAAACCACCTATTACAAAAAAAAAAAAAATTACAAAAAACGAAACAAAACAACCCACCGATGAGTAATACAAGATGATGCTCTTTTCAACTCAGCACATGTAGCAAAGCCTCCTCTGGTGATCTTAGTGATGAACCAGTTGAAAAAGACTTATTACGTCTACTGTTTACCCTGTTTAGACCATACACATTTATTAACTTCTCCAATTCCTATACCTCCTTGTAAGAGTGAAATCATTGTAACAGAGTATTCCTAACTCACAGAAACAATCTAGTAGAATATTGAGGCCCAGAGGGTCCAAAAGAAGTGAAAGTTCAAGCAGGCTCAGCATGATAGCATTTGCTACATCTTCTCATAAACCTTCTCTCAGGATAAACTGATTCTGTCTCAAAACAAAGACTGAAACCAGAATTTGCAATCTTCTAAGAACATCTATAGCTGCACAGACATCATTATTTCAATCCTTTCGTTCAAAAAGAGAGTATTCCATACATCAATAAGGGCTTCACCAGCTTTGGCTTCTGCAAATTCCCCAAAGTTCTCAAGAAGCCATCAAATTCCATAAGGCTCCGCTTAAAAGAAGGCATATTAAGTTCTCTATTGAAAAATAAAATGTAGATCCTATTGTCCAGAAAGACTGTTTCCTCATACCAAATATTCCACTCTTGACAAAGATAATCAAGAGAATATTGGTGAATTCCTGGTAGTCTTGGATGCAACTAATTTAAATCTTTTTCAGTCTGTATGGTTATGGAACACAAATAGTAATAGTATTGGTCACCTCGATTAATGACTTGTGCTAGAAATGATCAATATATGGCCATAAAGTGCCTGTGATGGTCTAAACTATTTACATTAAGGTTTTTTAAATACTATTTTGAAATAGTTTGAAGAACAAATAATTACTATTCCCACTTGAAAATATAAGCTAATTTGAATTGGACAAGGCTTTAAGCTATTTACAAAATGCCTTATATGGTGCTGGGGAATTCTGGGAGTTGAGGTCCACATGTCTTAAAGTTGCAAGTTTGAGAAACACTGCTACAGACTATGCAGAAATTTAAAATGAAAAGCAAATTTACCAAACTGGAGTAATAAGTCATTTTCTAGTATAGGCTTCAAATATTTATCTTCTTCCCAAGGAAATGGAGGTCTGAGAGAATTAAGATACCCGGCATCTGGCTTCTGAAATAGAAAATGAACAAGGAAGTAACAGACTATCCCAAGAATGAATCATACACAGAAATAGCAAAGTGGAGTTTTTAAAATTATACATATGATCTACCTGCAGCATAATTCTACTACTGATACAGTCTTCCTCTGCTTTATAGCTGAAGAGGACCTTTATCATTCTCTTCTCCCTTCTTATACATTTAATGCTCCTAATTTTCTAATTACTTTCCCATCACTGCAAAATCTCCCCCCCCCCCCCCCGGTGGTAGCTTCAATTTGAACTTTTACCTTTCTCATCTAAGAGAGAATATACACACACGTATACAATATATAATTTCCAAATCCATTGCTTGCCATTATCAAAAAGTTATTGCTGACATTAAATAACTCTAAGATTAGATCTAGAAACAATAAACATCACTTGAACTTTATGGCCCTCATTTTGGTAAGAAATGTCTACAGTTAGGGTATTAACAGTGATCTAACACTTATGCATTTCTTTATTGGCTAGATTATTATGAACACTTTATTTACCATGCTTATGATTTACCCAATCAACTACAGCAATTAACTGAAGTAATATCCTGGGCATCAAAATAATCCAACAGAAAGACTTCTTAAAAATGGATTTTACATTCATATTTGGTTTAGTTATTGCACTCTCACAATTTTTTCAAGATGCATTCTCAGAAACTTAATACCAAATGTTGAACAAATTCTTCTCACTATTCTCTGAAGAGACATAACTATTTAAATTGCATCTACTTTACAGAATATTGGTAACTTACCTGCAGTCTAATAAAGTTTACTAACTTAATGTAGCCATAAAAATCAAGCCCTGAAAGAAGCAGAAAAACAGAAATGTTTATCAAAGTTTATCAGAATCTTAATCTGTTTACTATCACACTTCCTCCCACTATTTTCTCTACTGATTTTCTGTGCTATGTTCAGTATAAACATAAGTTTGTTACACTTAATTGGACTATTATATTTGACCTTATCTCAAAAACTAACAAGGCTAAACTTAAACCAGACTTAGATTATTTACAAAAATCTGAATGCCATTTCAATCACAAATTCTAAGCAGTTTACACCTGGCAAAATAAAACCACCTTAGTAGAATAACAACCCACAATTACTGAACCAACAATTGATTTGTCTGTGTGTGTATGCGCGTGCGTGCGCATCTTTGAATCAGTGTTAACTCCTGGTGACTGCCTGGACTAGCTCCTGCAGCTTTCTTGGCAAGATTTTTGGAAGTGGTTTGCCCTTGCCTCCTCCTTCCTAGGGCTGAGAGAGAGTGACTGGCCAAGGTCATCCAGCTGGCTTTGTGCCTAAGGCGGGACTAGAACTCAGTCTCCTGGTTTCTAGCCTGATGCCTTAAAAACTACACCAAACTGGCTCTCAATTGATCATCAATTTTAAAAAGGATAATAATTAAATACATACATTCATAAATGCTGGATAACACAGCTAAAATTCAGACATTACAATAGCACTCATTTCCCAAAGGCTGTGGGAAGAACACTGTTTAAGGTAGTCATCTTAACTCTGCAGGGAGGAAGCAGAGTATTGCAGACCATGGGAGTCGTCACAGGGAGGACTTATTTCTTCACCTATATCCTGAAAGTTGGGGACCTGCAGCATGCTCCCTCTGCTCGATTGTATCAGATAGGTAGACAAACTCAAAGGTTCCCAGGACCCAAGCCATATATGGCTTTACAGGTAAGAGCCAACACCTTGTACTGTACTCATTGATGTTTACCCCACTTTTCATGCAGGTCTTCCAGGCAGAATACACAGCATTTCACCCTACTTTTCCCCACACCAGTGTTGTAAGGGAGGTTGAGCTGAAAGTGAATCACTGACCCAAAGTCATCTAATGATCTTTTGTAGGTAAAGTCGGACTTGAATCTTAATTTTCTGAATTGTATATAAATAAAGGACATTTATACATAGATATGTAATTGTTCCATAAATTCTATAATGAAATTTCTCTAAAGACACTTCTACACCAATGAAGAGAATTTCACATACAAATAAAATAAATTATCATACAAACATTGGACAATAGTTTTATCCAAGTAAGGGGAACATTCTGAATAAGGCATACATTTAATACTCCCACCTAACAATACCTGGCAATTATTTTCCGCAAAGATTAAAATGCCCAATTTGTAAAAAAGGAAATGGCAAAGGAACCATGAATAAGCAAGGAAAAAGAAAAAAAAACTATCTACAGTAAAGAACAGGCTTCATCATTACTGTTAACTGGATTAAATATTTGGGAATTTAACAAAAAATAAAAGATTTACTCCCTGAATGGTAAAAGTATAATGGCAGACATTTCGAAATGGAGAAAACTGAAACTTTCCTGGTTAGGAAGAACGGCAGTGGTAAAAATGAACATTTTGCCCAGGCTCAATTTTTTATTCCAAATTATTCCAATAAGAATTGAAAATAAGACACTAAATAACTAGCAGCTGTTATTCTACTTCTTCTGAATAAAAGGTTTAATAATGTTTATTTTTTAAAAAAATAGAAAGCTGGAAAGAAAAATGAACCTTTAACATTTGTTTCATTCCATTATCAATAATTTTCCAGCACTGTTAAGCTTTACAACATTGCCACCAAATATGAAAAAAAAATATCCAACCTGACCATTTCATCCATTCTTCTCACTGGAATTTATGAACTATTTCTTCTATAGAAAAATGGCAAATTAAGTTCTGGGAGTATGCACTGACATCATAACCAATTTCATATTTGAAAAACAGATCTGATATTCAATTTAACATGGAAACCATTTTTGGCCTATAACCTAAGGAATCAGTTAATACCACATTAAAATAAAAATGTTTTTCCTAATGTAAGACTATAATGTGTAATCTCTTCATAATTTATAATGTTTTAAATTTGTCAAATTTTTTAGGTTAGGCAGAAAATATTGTAATTTTTTTATTTAAAACATGTAATTTGAGTCTTACTGATTATAGTTGTTAATTACTGCATACTTTGTTTTTAACACTGATTTAATTTAATACTCTTAAAACTTTAAATTGATATAATCTATTCTAATATTCAGATTTATATCAATGTTATTTTGAAATTTTTAAGTTAACTTTACAGTGCTCGTAAATCTCTTTTCTACTTCCTTTTTACTCTTTTTTCTCTTCTTTTCCTTTTGTACCTTTAAATCTAATAAACAACAAACTTTTAAAATTCAAAAAGAGAACTATAAAATGTGCAGAAATAAACTTACGATGTTTTCGAACCACCATCTCAACACTGAACCCATGATCTGAGGTACAGTGGCAAAAGCTATCTTCAGCTGAACTGAAAAATCTTAGAAAAAGAGCAGTATTTTTAGAAAACACATACGCCAATTCTTACATTTTTTAAAAAGAAATCATGAATAGCATGATAAAATAAAAATAGAGCACAACATATTGTTATGGAGATATGAAAGACAGTAATCTGAGCAAGTATTAGAGAATAAGCTATATGTTCCTTAAGTATTAGGTGAAAAATGAAATGAAATGAAATGAAATTGATATTAGAAACATCTCATGGTACTGTACAGGGGAAAATAATATCCCTAAAAGGAAGAGGCAGCAAGGATGGAAACAGAAGGATTGCAGTAGTCAGATGTAAAGACGAAGAAATTCAGTGTCTGAAAAACAGGAAACACATGTAGTGAAAGCTGAACACCACTGCAACTGGAAGTATTCAAGGCTTCTATTGCCTTTGGTACAGTCCAGCCAGCCACTCAGTCCACCATACTTCCTCTACAATGCTTTCATTAGGAAAGGTTACAGTTAGGGGTTTGCCCCAAAAGAACTTGGAGCTAGTGACCACAACCCTGGCTTTATCAGCCAAAAACTAGAATCTCATGTAACAACAGTTACATTTCAAGTGAAATCATAAGGTGGAACCAGGGCAGAAATATGCACTTAGTAAGTTTAGCTGTGTGTGCATTGAGTAGTCAATTAAACAACTTTTGATGTTGCCTTTCATTTTAACACGAAGCCTCCTTGAGCGGTTTAAACTGCTGGTTATTTTATTTATTTATTTATTTTGTCCTTTATCTGCCTCTTTGGGGACTCTGCTGAAGCAAGGAGAAGGAAAAGAGACCCAGGGCCAAAGCAAAACCTCAGCTGTTAGGCTGGAAGCAACAGCTTCTTTCCAACTTCTTTTCCTAAAACTCTAACCTGTCGCAGAAAAGGCAGGGAGTCCCCTGCGCAGACCCCTCCATCTCGGCGTTGGGATCGTCGGCACAGTCCTCCTCCTCCTCCCAAGCGTCCTCATTCTCGCTGTCTGACAAACCAAGCCCCGAGCCGCCTCGTGCCGGTCCCTCCGTTTCATCTGCGTAACGAGAGAAAGAGGGATAAACCAGACCTCAACCTCGCCAGGAACTCGACAAAGAGAGACAGGAGAGAAAAACCTACCGATCACCGGAGATGCTCCGGAACTCATAACTGCAACCCGCTAAAAGTTCAACGCCTTCAGCAAACGTTCCCACGATCACAACACACCACCAGACCGTTCCCACGTGGAGCGCGAAGCTTGCCTTCACTTCCGGGTTAAGTGTCTGGTTCCTAGCCAATGGGAGAGGAAAGAGACCAGAAAGCGGAGGTGGAGAATATACGGTGAGTTTAGTGGGCCAAAATTCAGAGAAGGGAGGGAGCGAACGAGTATGCGTAACAGTTAGGAACTCCCGTGAGTTGGAAGGTTGGATTAGTGCTGTTGCTCTGACGCTTTGAGTCGGGGGTGCAAGCAATAGCGTGGAGTAGTAATTAGGATAATCTCTAGAACTAGGAAGACGTATAGAATTTTTGCTTGGGAGTTCGTTTTACATCAGGTATACACGGATAATAATAGAGCCTACTGGGCGGAGTTCAGATTGATTTTTTGCTCCAAAGACTCAGTACAGTTAGAGGCTGGTACAGACTTGTAACATGCTCCACCCCCCCCCACAACAATCCCGTGCACATAAAAAAAAAAATTTTTTTTAAACAAATCTGAAATTACATGTTCTGAATTTTAAACCACACTATGGTTCACAATGATACTTCTATCATTTTCGTGCAACTGTTTTGGTTTTTTATACCTGACTTGTTTTTATTATGATAAAGATACTACCCTTTTCATACAATACTTTGTTTTGTTTCATTGAAAAAGTCCAAGGTAGCTGTAGGCGTTTTATAAATAGATTGCTTAACCTGCATGCATCTTTCCTGGGCTTTTTTAAAATTGCAAAATCTTAAATTAACCCTTCTGAAGTCAGTTACTTTGGTAATAGTTCTGTAGGCTGATGAGTAAAATAATTAGGTGGTTTAACTGTTCTTGTTCCAAACTAGAAAAAGGCTACAGTTTTTTTTAATGACAACTGGCATACTGCCAGTCATTAAAATAGAATATGGTTGCAAAATCCTCAAAAGTTTTCTCAAATGACATTGAGGTATCCAGCATAATGCAGTCATGTGTTTAGAAAGATTACCTGTAGAAAGAAAGGCTGTAGATGTAAATAATAATAATATTATTATTATTATTTTATTATTATTATTATTATTATTATTGCTACTTTTGTTGGGGGGACAGGGGGCTAAATTTTATAAGATGAAGTGGTTTATTCATACTTTTTTCAAAAAATATGTTTGACAGTTGGGCTTTTTTATTGGTCAGTGGAACACTTAACCACTTCTAGAAATGTTGATTTTTGATACTTTGCACTCAGAAATATTTCCAGGCAAGTTGATTCCCACCATATGAGTATTCCCAATTATGGTACTTTTTGGTTATGATACTGTTACTTCTTCCTCCCTATGTCCAAGCAGCTGTTATGTTAGTTATGTTGCACGACATGCTTACACTCGGTTAAATGAGCTATCCATTATTCAACCCAATTTTCTGAGTTCACATGACAGTCAACCATAAACTAACTACATGGGGCTGGTTTAAGGCTGAAGTGCAGTTTGCTAGTTGGTAGATCAGCATATCGTACAAATGTGGTGGCACAAAAGCATAAAATCTCATTGTCCTTTAAACAACAACTGCTATATTAATAAGTACAAACTTTCTAAAGAGTATTAGACAGGAACTCACTATTAAGAATATTTTGTGTTCTGTTTTATTATTGCTTCTGATGAGTTTTAGAAAATTTCAGTAAATCTGGGTAGTAGGAGCATGTATATATTCCATAAAAACTCGCAAACCTGAGATTCATTTAACACCATTTGTCTCTTTAAAGTAATCTGGGCCAAATCTCAAACTTTCAGATTCCAGTGTATACTTTCCTCAAGCCTTTCAGCTTGAGCCCTGCACTTAAGAACTGCTTCAAAAAAAGTATGCTTCTATTGGCTACCATAAGATGTTTGTGCAAAATCATAGAATGACAGAAATATCAGGGGCTTTTCTTTTTTTATAATAACTTTATTAAATTTTAAAAACAGAAAGATAAAAACCAACAAGAACTAATAATCTAGAAAAGAAATAGAAAAGAAAGGATAAAGAGAAAGAAGTAAAGCAAGAGTACAGAAAAAGAAAGAAATAGAAATACAAAAAAATAATGACTTCCAACTTTTTTTACAGCAGATATAAGTAAAACATACATTATACTCTTACTCTAGAATTACAAATTAACATCCATTTTTCATAATCTATTAATTTTACTAATTATCAAACCCATATATCATAATTTCATTTTTTTCTGTTTCCTGCAAAAAGTCCAAAAAGGGCTTCCAATTAGCATTAAAATTAGTCAATGTCTTTTCTCTAATCTGTCAATTTCTCCATCTCAGCTAACCCCATCAACTTTACCATCCATTCTTCCATTGTACTGTAGGTAATATCCAATCTTTTCACCTTTGATCATATAAAAGTCTCACTGCAGTTATATATATCAAAACAAAGATCCATGAGATTTTTCTAATTGTTTATTCATCAGCCCCAAGAGAAATGTCTCTGGTTTCGATTATATATTAATCTTCAAAATATTCTGAATTAATATATGTACAGTATTTGAGTCCAAATGTTTTTAGCTTCATTACATGTCCACCAAAGATGATAAAAAGTCCCTTCTTGTTGTTTACATTTCCAACATATATTTGAAGTCCCTTTGTACATTTTTGACAATCTTTCTGGTGACAAATACCATTGATACATCATTTTATAAAAATTCTCTTTAAGATCATGTAAATTTCAACCCTTCCATCCACATACTTTCCCATTGTTCTATTAGTATATTATAACCAAAATAGTTAGCCCATTTTATCATACAATCTTTAACTTGTTCATCTTCTGTTTCAAATCTCAACAAAA